TTTTCATTCCCCCTCCCCTCCCTCCCTCAGTTTTCCACCTCCCATCTCTCCCTCAGTTTTCCACCTCCCATCTCTCCCTCAGTTTTTTCTCCCTCAGTTTTCCCCCTCCCATACCTCCCATCTCTCCCTCAGTTTTCATTCCCCCTCCCCTCCTACCTTGTAGTGTGGCCAAGCGCACCGCGGAGCTCAGTTTCCGGTACCCGGCCGCACAGGAAGTGCTCTCTCTGTGTATCATTTGCGTCCGCCCGGGTACAGGAAACTGAGCTCCGCGGTACGCTCGGCCACACTAGACAGAGTGCCTGCTATGCGCTCACCTCCTGCCGGTCACTCCGGCTTTGCGCCCACCGGGCCGGTGCCGCCTTGTGTATGCGCCGGCGGAACGCACCCTCCCTCCGGCGACCTATGGCCGCGTGCCCACAGAGGGGGCTCGGCGTGCCACCTGTGGCACGCATGCCATAGGTTCGCCATCACTGGTCTAAATGCCATCACTGGTCTAGCTTATGAAGCCTTCCCACGCCCTGCTATTTGTCTTAGAGAGCTTTGATTGGTTGAAAGCAACCAATCAGAGTGTTATGAGTCAAATTATACAGCATGGGAAAATTGGTTGGATATTAAGCCAACCAGAGTGCTGTGACAGGTAAATGACTTGCCTGTCAGAGCACTCTGGTTGGCTTAAAGGACCACTCTGGGCACCCAGACCACTTCAGCTTAATGAAGTGGTCTGGGTGCCTGGTCCTTCTAGGGTTAACCCATTTTTTAATAAACATAGCAGTTTCAGAGATAGCAGTTTCTGCCAGACAGCCACTTGGGACGCTTCTGGAATCCTAACGGACTTTTGGTCCGTTATCTGACGCTGGACGTCCTCAAGGGCCTCCAGAGTCAGATTTTCCACACAGGAAAGCATGGAATAATGCTTTTCTATGGGGAGGTCTAATGTGCGCGTCCATTGCCGCGCATGCGCACTAGGTCTCCCATGCCGGGTGACTTCAACGGGGAGGAGCCTGACCCAGCACCAAAGGACATCAGCGCTGGATTCAGGTAAGTGGCTGAAGGGGTGTCCCGGGGTGGGAGGGAGACCTATTAACCCTATAGTGCCAGGAAAACTTCCTCTTCTGGCACTATAGGATCCCTTTAATTGAATGTGAAATCTAAAAAAGTTTGAGAAAATGTGTTATTTTATGCATGACATTTTAACTGTAAATGTCATAATACTGTTAGAGTTTACTGCTATAAAATACACATATTTGTATCCAGCAATGTCTCTCGAGTACCACAGTACCCCTCATGTACAGGTTTTGAGTTTTTGAAAACTTACAGGGGTCAAATATAGGGCTTTCCCCTTTTGCATTGAAATTTGCCAGATTGGTTTTCAAATGTTGCCATTTGAGACCGTGTGGTAGCCCAGATATGAAAATTAAACCCATCTTGGCATACCATTTGTAAAAGTAGACAACCGAGGGTATTCAAAATAGTGTATGTCCAGTCTTTTGCAGTAGCCACTTAGGCACAAACCCTGGCCAAAGTTAAAGTTTATATTAGGTTTTTATTGCATTTTTCACAAATAAAGTGCCTTTTCACCAATGATGATATCAGTATTATACATTTTACTGCTATAAAACATTCATATTTGTGTAGAGTAATGTCTCACGAGGACAACAGTACCCCTCATGTACAGATTTTATGGTGTTTTGGAAAGTTGCAGGGTCAAATATAAGATTTGCCAATTTCTGTTTTTGCAAATTGAAATTTGTCAGATTGGCTATGTTGCCTAAGAGACAGTATGGCAGCCCAGAAATTAAAATTAACCCCACCATGGCATACTGTTTAAAATAGTAGACAACCCAGGGTTTTCAAAATGGGTATGTCCAGTGTTTTTAGTAGCCACTTAGTCACAAACGCTGGCCAAAGTTAGCGTTCATATTTGTTTTTTTCATTTTTCTTACACTAAAACTGCACTTTTACTGTTTTATAACACATGTATTTGTGTTCAGCAAAGTCTCCCAAGTACAATAATACCCCCATGTCCAGGTTTTGTGGTGTTTTGGAAAGTTACAGGTATAAACATACCTTGCAAATTAAATTATCTGGACTTGCTGCTTGGGTTGTCAGGCTGGTCCCTCAAATTATAATTAAAAAATGACTTCATTATGTTAAAATATTATATAAAAATACACGTAGAATTTAAATATACTTATATATGTATTTAAATCCTACGAGTATATTTATGTAATTATATCGATTTATATGTACCGTATATACTCGAGTATAAGTTGACCTGAATATAAGCCGAGGCCCCTAATTTTACCACAAAAAAGTGGGAACGCCTATTGACTCGAGTATAAGCCTAGGGTGGGAAATGCAACAGCTACTGGTAAAATTTGCATTAATTGAATATTTATTTACAGTGTGTGTATATAATAAATGCAGGAAGCGTTTATTTACCTTTTATGTCAGCTCCGTGCTGCTCCTGTCAGCTCGCAGTGTAAGTCTCGCAGTCTGCGTGCCGCGCGGAGCGTTGCCACGGTAACCCGTGGCACCGCACTGACGGACGCGGGTCACGCAAGACGTACACTGTGAACTGAACAGGGGAGTTGCACGGAGCTGACCGGACCTGCTGTAAAGGTAAGTAAACGCTTCCTGCCGGCCCCCAACAGGACCGCCGGGCTTGTAATGAGCCCGGCAGTCCTGGTCTGTATTATGGCAATGTAAGTTGCCATAATACAGACACTGACTCGAGTATAAGTCGAGTGGGGCTTTTTTAGCACAGAAAATGTGCTGAAAAACTCGGCGTGTGTGGGTGTTTATTTTTTTTACCCTGATTGCTTGACTAAGATATTTTTAATCTTATTTCACCAGCAGGGGCACTGCCTGTCAGTTTAGGCAGTCCCCCTGTAGGCAGCTATGATCTGATCACATGGCCCCCTGTGGCATAAAGGACCACTCTAGGCACCCAGACCACTTCAGCTTAATGAAGTGGTCTCGGTGCCTGGTCCAGCTAGGGTTAACCCATTTTTTTTATAAACATAGCAGTTTCAGAGAAACTACTATGTTTATAAATAGGTTAATCCAGCCTCTAGTGGATGTCTCATTGACAGCCGCTAGAGGCGTTTGAGTGCTTCTCACTGTGAAAATCACAGTGAGAAGACGCCAGCGCATGCGCATTCAGCCGAAGAGGAGGAGGAGAGCTCCCCGCCCGGCGCTGGAGAAAGGTAAGATTTTAACCCCTTCTTCTCCCCAGAGCCCGGCAGGAGGGGGTCCCTGAGGGTGGGGGCACCCTCAGGGCACTGTAGTGCCAGGAAAACTAGTATGTTTTCCTGGCACTATAGTGGTCCTTTAAATTGCCGAAGGGGGACTGCCTTGGCTGTCAGGCAGTCCCCCAGAAGAGGATCGCGTCAGAGGTGAGTACACCTTGGGTGTTGTGGCTCACAACCGTTCGATGCCACCGTAACGGCACTATAGTTCTAGGAATACAGCTTTGTGTTCCTGACACTGTAGTAGATAAGCATGATGATACAATTCATCTGCTGCTCTTTAAAAATTCATAGGATTTGTATTCTTTTTCTACTTTATTTTTTATTTTTTTTATTATTATTATTATTTTACGTTTGGGTGTGTCCATGTTCTGATTATTGTTTTTCAATAAAGGTTCTCACTATATTATTACCATTTATTACTAGTTTGGCGTTTCTGAACAGCGCCAGACAATTTCATAGCTCTTTTATTGTTTGTATCACTAAAACCTTACCCTACTGGAACTACCTGAACAAATACTAATCCATTCAAACCCTATGTGTTCTAATTCTAACCCTACTTCTTATATTAACACATAAACGCTTAAATCCAATACCATACTATCCAATTCTACAACCCTATCCCTAGCTAACTTTTAAAGAGACACTGTAGGCACTGTATTGAGTGTCTGGAGTTCCTTGGTGCTGTCCTTTTCATATAGCATTAAAGGAACACTATAGTGTTAGGAATACAAATCTGTATTCCTAACACTATATTGTCCCTATGCCTCCGTGCGATCTGTGTGCCGTGTGATGGTGATGCTGGAAATGCGACGAGTGAGGATGTCCACTGTCATTTCACAGAGTTAAACTCTGTGACAAGTCAGGAAGTGCCTCTTTTGGCTGACTGTAAGACAGCCACTAGAGGCAGTTTTAATACTGCAATGTTTTACATTTCAGGGTTAAAAGGACACTGTAGGCACCCAGGTCGCTTCATCTCATTGAACTAGTCAGTAGTGAAAGTGCAATGTTTACATTGCATGGTTAAAACTGCCTCTAGTGGCTGTCTCCCAGACAGCCACTAGAGGTGCTTTCTGCGTTTTTTTTAACTCCTTGAAATATTAGACCTCATGACTCTTTGCTTGAGGACGTCCAGCATCTTGAAACCCCCCACAGGAAAGCATTTTTCAGAAAGCCGTGCATTATGTGTCCGGATCGCCATGACGTTGGCGGAGCCTGATCCAACAACGAGGGACTTCGGAACTGGAATCAGGTAAGTGAATGTTTTAAAAAAAAATATATATATATATATATATATATAATTTTTTAAACCATTTATTACTGGTGGGGGGGGGGGGATGAAGTGACCTGGTAGTCTATAGTGTCCTTTTAAACTATTTTTAAAAATTATGTTTTAATGCTAAACAAGAGTCTACAGCCCATCCCCTCTGTGCTGCTTGGTCAAATGAGGAAGACTGAGCAGCAGTTGGAAGCTCTGATTGGCTAAAAGTGTCAGCTAACTACCTTCTGCCCGTATGAATGGGTGTAACTACAAGGACATGTTTATTCTCAGCCTTAGCCATACCTGTATTAGAGGTGGGGCTTTGGGTGGACAAGAACCCTTTAAATGTTAAAATGGTTTAACACCGAATGAAATCACATTGCCACGGGACTCCAGGCACTACCAGTCCTGGAATTTGTATTTTTTTAATTTATTTTTTCTGGGGTGTGATTCAACTCTTGGCTCTAGGCAGTCAGCCAGCCCAGAGCATTCTAGTCTAACAGTATCAATATTATCCATAGTTTGGATGCAACACTGTTGAGAGTGTAACTATAGCCTGCTTCACTGAACAGAGTACTGGGCCAGGTGAAAACTGATAGTAACTACTGCACAATTCTTTTAATTTGTTCTTTGTCTTCTCTTCTTTTCCAAGAACACACATAAATGGTCATTTAAAGGAACACTATAGGGTCAGTAACACAAACATGTATTCCTGACCCTATTGTGTTAAAACACCATCTAGCCCCCCTGGCCCTCTCTTGCCTCCATAAATATATTAAAATCTTACTTTTATTTAAGTGTGCAGTTGCTTCATCTGCCTCTGACCTGCAGCTCACTGCTGACACCATCAGAAGTGGTAGTCTGAGCCAATCACAATGCTTCCCCATAGGATTGGCTGAGACTGTCAAGGAGGCAGATCAGAGGCAGTGCCAGCATAAGTCAAACACAGCCCTGGCCAGTCAGCATCCCCTACTAGAGATCCTCTATGAGGAAAGTTAAAGGACCACTATAGTGCCAGGAAAACATACTCGTTTTCCTGGCACTATAGTGCCCTCAGGGTCCCACTCCCGCCCGGCTCTGGAAGGGGGAAAGGGGTAAAATCTTACCTTTTTCCAGCGCTGGGCGGAGAGCTCTCCTCCTCCATTCCTCCCTGTCGGCTGAATGCGCACGCGCGGCAAGAGCTGAGCGCGCATTCAGCCGGTCACATAGGAAAGCATTCATAAATCACAGTGAGAAGCACGCAAGCGCCTCTAGTGGCTGTCAATGAGACAGCCACTAGAGGAAATAGGGGAAGGCTTAACCCATTCATAAACATAGCAGTTTCTCTGAATCTTAATCCTAGCTGGACCTGGCACCCAGACCACTTCATTAAGCTGAAGTGGTCTGGGTGCCTAGAGTGGTCCTTTAAGTGTGTGCATGCAGAGGGTGGAGACACGGAATGGCAGTACCGCACAGTGTGTAGCACTGCCCCTGGAAGCACCAGTGGAGTTATCACTAGGCTGTAATGTAAACACTGCATTTTCTCTGAAAAGACCTTGTTTATTGCAAATAGTCTGAAGACCTGAAGGGAATAATTATACTCACGAGAACAAATACACTGTCGTTGTTCTGGTGCCTATAGTGTCACTTTAACATTTTACTGCCAAAGCAGTTAACAAATGCTCCGAGGACTTAAAATCATAAGGCTGGCTAGGCCTGTACGTGGGGTACAGATTAATAGGGGTGGGTTATTTTTTAGTAATTTCTACACTTTCTTTGCTTTTAATCTTGCCCAGCTACCTTCTTCAGGAACTACATGACTTATTAATAAATGTATTTATAACACTGTAGTGTTCATTATATAAGGTAAAAGTGTTTTAAGATTTTATAGAATATTGCTGCATTAAAACCACCATTATGCCAATTTCTCCCATAGGTATCAGCTTGCATTCCTTTTTTCAAATGGACTAGAAAACCAAAGAAAATCTTGTTTTATTGCCATTTTCCAGATCAGCTGCTCACACAGAGGATATCAGCATTGAAAAGGATCTACAGAACACCAATTGATTGGCTAGAAGAGAAAACAACCGGCATGGCAGACTGCATTCTTGTAAACAGTCATTTCACAGCTAATGTTTTCAAGCAAACATTTGCTTCTTTATCTCACAGAGAAATATATGTTCTCTATCCATCACTAAATATCAGCAAATTTGAAAGCAATGTTTTTGAAGATTTGAGCAACATTGTTCCTATGAAAAGAAAACATGTTTTTCTTTCTGTAAACCGATATGAAAGAAAGAAAAATCTAGATCTTGCACTTAAAGCCTTTTGTGATCTTCGTGATAGACTAAATATGTTGGAATGGGAAAAAGTTCATCTCATAATAGCTGGAGGATATGATGAAAGAGTCAAAGAGAATGTTGAGCATTTTCAGGAACTACATGATCTTACTGCTCAATTAGGTATAGGTGATCATGTAACATTCTTAAGATCTTTTTCTGATGAGCAAAAACTTAACCTTCTCTATAATTGTATATGTGTACTGTACACACCAAGTAATGAGCATTTTGGAATCGTTCCCATAGAGGCTATGTACATGCGAAGCCCGGTAATAGCTGTTAATTCTGGTGGTCCATTAGAATCTGTTGTGAATAATGTTACAGGTTATCTTTGTCAGCCTCAGCCACATGAATTCTGTGATGCCATGGAAAGATTTGTGAAAAACCCAAGTCTTAAAATTACAATGGGAAAAGCAGGACATGCAAGAGTTCTAGAAACATTTTCTTTTGAAGCATTTTCAAGTCAGATTTATCACCACATATGCAAGTTAACGCAATGTAAATAATGTTTATTGAAAAAAGCCAGATATGTAAAATCCTGACAGGTGTAATGACATGTTAGCAGCTGATGGTGCATAGATCATTTTTTTTGGACAAATACATAGAGTAAAATTTTTGCAAATGTGCATTTTCACAACACAGGTGATATTTGTTAAATGTCTCTATATTAAATGAGTTAAATTTGACTTTATTCGTGACCATTCACCAGTAAATTAAATAAATTAACCACATTAGGTTTAATTCATATTAAGATTGTGATTAACAAATATATATTCCTGAAGATTTGGTCCTTCTTATTGATCCAGCTTCTCTTCTGTGATCTATGACCATCAAGATTATTTACTAAAGTGCAACTTGTTGGGAATTCAGAGTGATTTTTTTTGCCAAAAAGGTCTATGCGTTTATTTGGCCTAAAATGTAAAATTAGTTAGAATTTTTGATGATTCTAACAATAAATAACCTGAACTTTGTAGATATTTCTGGTGGAGTTGTCTATTTATAACTGTTGCAAGTCACCTGCATAGCGAAGACTGTACCTGTTTCATCTCTTTTGATTTGTCCATATACCGCCCTATTACTCCAATGGCTGGGCAATGTTTCTTCTTATTAGCATTTATATAGTGCCAACAAATTCTGTAGCGCTTTACAATATTATAGGAGGGGGAGATTTAACAATAAATGAGACCATTACAAAAATTTACAGGAACAATAAATGGGAAAGCTTTGGATTGGCTAGAAATCGCCAATTTTGATGATGTCACCAAGGAGGCCCCAAGCGGGGCTGGAAATAAGGTGAGTTTTCATCTTTTTCTAAGGGGGGACAAGCCACCTAAATGGTGGATTAAACATGTTTGTGATCCGGACCCTATAGTGTTCCTTTAAAGAGACAAGCTAGGTTTAAATTGACTGTTACACTACTAGCAGAAAGTTTTTCTAAATACCTTTGTTTTCTATTGCAAGAACATTAAAATATCAAGACTCTCAATGATGATTTTTTTTTCTGCTACAACTGCAGATAACAATTAAAAAACACTTTAAAAGTTAAAAAAAAATTGCAAGGTGTTTCCCTCAGGACCAGGACAGGACACATAATTCAAATGCGACCAAGTGTGTCCTCTCTTCACAAACCTGTCTTTTTTTTTTTATGTTCTCAGACAGACAGGAACTTACTCATTTTAAATGTTTGGGGGTTTTTTTGGGCCACCTTCCCATGTGCACCGTGGGTCTCCCAGGCAAAGTTCAGCCTCTTTGTCTGAAGATCCCAATGTTAGGGACGAAATTCTTCCTCCGGGGACTATTCATGGCTGCAGACCGTCCTTGGAACTCCAACCAACACAAATACACCTATGCCTTCAGTCAGGGTTTATATAAAAAACAGATGATGATTTCTGCAGGAAATGCCCGGTGGGCCACAATGACCATGGACCAAGGCTGGCAGGGGAGATCCTTTCATCTCCCCTGCTGGCCTGTGCAGTGCCAGCTTTGCTGTAAGTCCTCTCGGGTTGGTAAGGAGATCAAATATCTCCCTCACCTGCCTGCTGGCAATTCCAGCAGAGGGAGGGAGGGAAGGGCCTGGGAGGCTGTGCTCCTGCTGCAAACAGGCTTGTAGGAGCATTGTCCTGCGTTCCCATGGCAATGCTCCGATACAGTGCTGTGCTCGCAGGAGGACAGGAGAGTCAGCCTGCAACTAGAGGAGCTGCAGGCTAAAGTGAACATGTCACCACTGAATCACCAGGGTTTGCAGCATTATGTTCCCCCTCCCTTGTAAAAGGTAAGAAGAAGGGAGGAGGAGACTTTAAGATAAATTTTCACATCTTGCCCACCTACACACAGCCCCTCACACGCGCACTGTTCCTCATACACACACTGCACCTCTTACACACAGAGAAAAAAAAATATATACATATAAGTACTTTTTTTAATTTATTTTTTTAAACCTTTTCTGAAAAAAATCACCCTTGCATAGTCTCTCAGTAAGCACTGAAGTGAAAAAAAATCTGCCTCAGTACTAGTCTCTTTTTAAAATATTTTTTTTTAACTGTGTTGATCTATAGATCAGCATAGTTCAAAACTTTAAATAAGTTTTTCAATTTATAAAAATATAAATTTTAGTTTCAAAACACTACACACTACATTAGTTACATCTTGTTTTCTTCAACTTCTTTTCTTGCTATTTCAAAATTGTAAATGGATCCTCCTGAACTTACATCCACTAGTAAAGTGAGGGAGGGTCAGTCAGCCACCACCACCAAAACCATCACCACCACCACAAGTAGTGGTAGTTTGAATATGCAGCAGTCAAGCAGTGCCGCTATGTCAGACTCACCACCTAGGAGGCCAAGGTCTTTGTCACGCATTTCATGCTTGGTGCAAGATCCTGGTAAAGGAAAGGAACCAATAGCAGGCAGTAGTGCAGCAAAGCCCAGCACCCCCAGTCTTTTCTATGGTAAAGGGAAACAAGCAGTACTTAGCTGCAAATTTTATGGACCGGTTTTCGGCATGAGGTGACTGTGCGGTTCGAGGACAACTTGGTCTGGGGGTTTGACCCACTTGCAACCACTGCAACCTGGCAGGAGAGCGCTTTTTGGAGAGAAGGTGCCTGAGACTAAAGGTAAAACAGCTGAGAGCCAGGTGGAGCACCCCTGTATTTTGGATGCAGGAGCTTCTGAAAGTTGACTGGCAAAAGCACCAGACTCCCTAGAACTATTCTGGGCATAGGACTATGTGTGCGGCCGGTCAGAACTTTGGGCACTCAGGTCAGGGTTATTTGGGGATGTGTAATATGTGGGGTTATTTTAAGTTTTTATTATGTTTTTGGGTACTTTTATGTTTGGCTGTCTGTTCCTGGGAGATAATCAACTTACCTGTCTTTAAATCAATTATCTCCCAGGCCCAGAGATTCCTGGGAGGGGCTTGTGTTGAATAATACAATGGAGACCCCATGCTGGGGTCTGCATAAAAGACAGAGGTTGGCTCATTAAAATCAATCTAGTTACTTTGAGGGGAAAGGGCTGATCACTGCTTAGCACCTTGTTCTAGCTCGTGTAGGATTCAGCTGGGAAAGTCCTTGCAAGGACTACAGCTCCCAGGACTGTGTGACAGGGGAGGTGTTGCAGAGCCAAAATCTACTGGTGCTGCCAGCCAACAACCAAGGCTGGTTAGAGCATCACAATGCATCCAGCCGACCCTGGAACAATTTGGGGGATTCCACTCCAGGGTTATGTCGAAACAGCAGGCCCATAAAATCATGCAACTTATTGGTCAGTTAATTGCTGTTGGGGGTGCTTCCTTTTCAATGATAGAAGGGGAACCTTTCAAACAGTTGATGGAGGCTGTGGCTCCACAATACCATCTTCCCTCACTCTCCACTTTCAGCAGGTGGATAGTCCCTTTGTGGAGTGCACCAAGTCGCCAGCATGCCTTTATTTCCTTGATAGCACACTGGTGGGATCCTGGTGTGTTTCAGGAAGCTGCTTCTGCAACTTCAACAGCAGCAGCAGGGTCTAGCAGAAAGGGAGGAAGTTTATCTGTAGGTCAGGTGGGCTATCGTTGAAGTGATGGATGAAAAACACACTTCGATAACATTCTGTAGGCAGTAAGGAGGAAGGTGTCTCTTTGGGTAGGAGATGAGGCAGGCACCAATGTAGAAGTGGGGTTTGTGGTTACTGATGGAGCTTCAAATATAGTGAAAGCTCTGTGTGATGGTAACATTGTTGGTCTGCGCTATGCAGCGCACATGATCCATCTTGTAGTGAAATCAGCAATCCCAGAAGGAAATAATAGAGTTTTGAGTGAGATTGAAAGGTGCAGGAGGATTGCTGGGCACCTTTCAACTGTTAAGGCACGAGCAAGAAAAGGCAGGTCTTCCCACACACTGTCTATGACAAGATGTCAGTACACGGTGGAAGTCTACTTCGGAGATGCTGGCGAGTATTTTAGATCAGCAGAGGGCAATCCATTAGACATGTGCAATTATTTTTGTTCCGAATGTCAATTCGTACGAATTTCTGGCAATTCTCCGACTGTCCAAATTGCTGAATTGCCAAAAATTTCAAAAAGAAATTCAAAGAACTTTCCCACTCTGTGTAAAATGACATAGAGCACTCTGATTGGCTGGATTTCAAGCTAACCAATCAGAGTGCTGTGACAGGTAAATGTAAAAACTTACCAGTCAGTCTCTTCATTTACCTGTCAGAGCTCTCTGATTAGATGGCTTAAACCAACCAACCAGAGTGCTCTGAGCATAATTGCAGGGCGGGGCAAGGCTTTATAAGCCTTCCCCCACCCTGCAGAGCTCAGTCTGCATGGTGCCTTCCATGGGTGAAGATGGATTATTTATTTTTTTGCACTTTTTTATTTATTTATTTATTATTACGGTGATTATGGATTTTTATTTGGCTTTTTGGGAGCTTAAAAAATAAGATTTTAGAAAAAAGACCACATCAAATGGTAAGTTTAATTAATTTTTTTACAGGTACCTATTTATTGGTCCCCCCCTCACTGAGAGGGTTAGGATAGGGGTTAGTTTTGTTGGGAGGGGGTGACTAGGGGCTTGGGGACCCCTAGTCACCATAGGGGGGTTAAACTTTTATTTAGGGCCCCCACCTGCCGCTCAGGGGTGGGGGCCAGGGGGGGGAAGGACAATAGGTCCCTCCCCTTATTCTAATTTAGGGCTCCCACCCACCGCTCATGGGTGGGGACCGGGGGGGAGGACAATAGGTACCCCCATTATTTTACTTTAGGGCCCCACCCACTGCTCAGGGGTGGGGTTCGGTGGGGGAGGACAATAGGTTCCCCTCCCCGTTTTTCTGATATAGGGCCCCCACCTGCCGCTCAGGGGTGGGGGCCGGGGAGGGCAATAGTTTATTTTTTGTTTGTTTTTGTAACAGTGAGCAGCCACAGGCTGCTCACTGTTTAATAGACATGCCCCTACTCGCAGTATAGCGAGTAGGGGCAGATTATTTACTAATACTAAGTAATTTTTACTTAGTATTAATACATTTTATTTAAAACTCTTGAGTACACAGTGTTACTATTATTTGTTTTTACTCTTTGTTTATATTTTGGACTAATAAAATATATTCCTGTGACATCTCCTGATGTCCTGTATCCATCCTACTTCTGAAAGTATATCCTGTGGCCAATATTGGCACAATTTGGACTTTCACACAGAGTGTGGTACAGCTCTGGGACATGTGAGTTATAGTCCACTCCTATCCTATTATTATACGAGGAAAACAATAAGAATTAACATAGGGCCAAAATTTAGATATCACAAGGTAGAGGGCACAAAAAAGGGGGGTAACCCCTAAATGGTGAATATCATAGAGAATAAACAAAAAAAGAAACAAATGCCATTCTACCTGTGTATGATTTACTGAGAAGATTGTAGATTAAAAAGTAACTTTTAATAAATAAATCTAAAATAAAAATATAAAAAAGAAAAATAATATGAACAGCAGGAGTAAATGGAGACTATACAGCGAGTAAAACTCTGTGACTACTTATATAAGCTGTAAAAGTGTATACATAATAACACTAATGCTGAAGCAATACTGTTTAGCTACAATATAACAGTGTATTCCCAAGTAATAGAAGTGATACTATATTATATATCACTAATAGCTGTAACAAGAGGGGGGAGATAAGACCGCTGCTAAACCAGTGCTGTCAATAGTTAAAAGATATGGATAAGTAAATCCCTACATGATAGTACAACTAATGACATGGGTTAACTCCACATACAATAATTGATAATGTTCTTATGGTGCTTAACCTCAGAAAGATCAAAGATAATGGTTCAGCTAAGACAGATTTCTGACAGACGGCGATTAGCCAGTTAAATATCACAAAAGCTGCCTAGATCATAGCAGCATTTTGATAATTAATTAAAGATTGCTGTCAAGTAGTAAAGTATAAAATAAGGGGTTGCTGACCTGGCTCTGTTTTTTCTGCAAGATACCTAGCAGTATATTCTAGTGTAACAACAGCTGCCTGCACTGAATGATGTTAACTTATGCTTGACCACAGTGGAGCACCAAGTAGTAGCTCACCTGTGAAGGACTGCTGACAGGCAGCAGTTAACCGGTTAAAAATCACACAAGTTGCCTAAATGCAAGCTGCATCTAAATAATAGGTCAAAGTATAAAGAGAGGGTTTACAAACAGTTTTGAACAGGTTGCCTAGGTAGTAGAAAATATACAGACAGTGACAGAGGAAGGCATATAGAATAAAGATTCCTGAGTCTTGTGCCTTCGAGGGCACCCCTTAATAAAATGCCTGGTCTTATCAATCTCCCCCCATAAACATAATAAAGGAAAAAGAAAGAGAAATAAAGTATGTACAGAGCACACAAAATTAGTGTTAAGAGTCTCCAATATGCACTCCTGAGATGCTGGACATGAATGAACTTGATGTCGGTAATTTAGCAATAGATAAGCAGAGAGTTAGGTGCCTACACCAATAATGTGTCAGTAAGTGTCCAGAGCCCCTGACGTGCACGTTTCGCCAGTGAAGCTCATCAGAAGGTCAGCAACCCCTTATTTTATACTTTACTGCTTGACAGCAATCTTTAATTTATTATCAAAATGCTGCTATGATCTAGGCAGCTTTTGTGATATTTAACTGGCTAATCGCCGTCTGTCAGAAATCTGTCTTAGCTGAACTATTGACAGCACTGGTTTAGCAGTTGTCTTATCTCCCCCCCACCCCCCCTTTTTTTGCTACAGCTATTAGTGATATATAATATAGTATCACTTCTATTACTTGGGAATACACTGATGTTATATTGTAGCTAAACAGTATTGCTTCAGCATTAGTGTTATTATGTATACACTTTTACAGCTTGTATAAGTGGTCACAGAGTTTTACTCGCTGTATAGTCTCCAATTTCTCCTGCTGTTCATATTATTTTTCTTTTTTATATTTTTTATTTTAGATTTATTTATTAAAAGTTACTTTTTAATCTACAATCTTCTCAGTAAATCATACACAGGTAGAATGGCATTTGTTTCTTTTTTTTGTTTATTCTCTATGATACTCCTATCCTATTGTTTTACGTTCACAGGTCACACCATGCTTGCAGATTTCTTTTTTATTGTAGGTCTTTGTGTGATCTACAGATATCTGAATCGTTTGTATGAGGTATATAAGTTCTACACATTTTTTGCACTGGATTTTTATTTTTACTGTATTTCTTCTACGTGTGTGTGTGTGTGTGTGTGTGTATATGTGTGTGTATATATTGTGTGTGTGTGTGTATATATATATATATATATTACTGTGGTATTTATTAATTGGCAAACTTACTGTGATATTAATAAATAACATCACAGTAAGATTGCCCATTAATAAATACCTTAGTAAGTATGCGTGTTAATATATACCACAGTAACTTTGCCTATTAATAAGTATCACATTACATTTGCTCCTTAATAAACGAGCATACTTACTGTGGAATTTGTTAATGGGAAAACCTACTGAATTTATTACTGGGCACTTGGCATATGTTAAATGGGCCAACTGACTGTGGCATGTTCTGTGGGGAAACAACACTGTTCTGTGTATGCATTTTATGACTCCTATGTTTTTTTTTTTATATATATTTTTGCTTGCAGGGAATTCAGGGAAAAACTTTGGTGAGAAAAGTTTGAGGAGCAGTGGCATGAAAGGAGAGCACTTACCTTAAAGGAGAGCACTCAGTGGCTTTCATTTAAACTTGAATTTCTTTCAAAAAGGGGTTAATTCTTAAAATCAACGTTTCAGTCCATATTTGGAATTTCTGATGAAATTCCTAATATGGACTGAAACGTTGGTGTTAAATTTCTCTTAAAAAATGATTAATTCTTAAGGTCACAATAAGACCACTGAGTGCTCTCCTTTGAGGTAAGTTATTGCTGTGTATATATTATACACACAGAATCCAACGCACTCGCTTATTCACTAAACAATAATTTCAAATCTTAGAGATTGTAATAGTTTTATTTAAAAACACCTCACCTAGGCAAAAAATAATGGGGGTTTAGTTACATTATATGATCATATATTGCATAAGCCTGCCACACCATCAATGTACCCCATTCTTGGCAGGTCCTACACCTGCAGCCTAATGCTTGCTCTTATGAGATTAATCCACTTACTTGGGAAATACTTCTTTACTGGGACTCTCTGCAAGTCAAGGCTATATATATATCTCCACCCACTTCGGTACAGCACTGTCTCTCTCGGTCTCTAGCTTGCCTGGGAGCTTACTTCATCCAAAATGTACATAATCCAAGAAAAGTGCACTCACAGGACTCGGTAGATGATATTCCAATTCTTTTATTGTGTGTAAGTGGTTGTGGTGGCAGTCCGGGCACTGGGAGCCCTCCAGATGTGTAAGTGATTGTGATGGCAATCCTGGCACTGGAAGCCCTACAGATGTGTAAGTGGTTGTGGTGGCAGTCTAGCACTGGGAGCCCTATAGATATGCAAGTGGCTGTGGTGGCATTCCTGTCGCTTCCTGTTAGGCCAAGTAGAGGATCATACATAGAAGATCATACATCCGCTGTCCACTCAGCCTGTGAGGATATTTATGGGGTGGTAAATATTAAAATAATATTTTCATAAAAATTATCAAAAATTAATTTAATACATGTTATTATATCAAAAATTGATATCGTGGCACTGTTGCCCAATTAATGATTTAAAGCTGAAAATTACCCACTATTTTAATTCTCTTAGATCCTAGAGGAAGTTTCACTAGAAGATTTAACTTCACACAGTAATCACAAATTAATTATAAAAATATAATTTATTGTGACAATAATAAAAATAACATATGTAACATGCGTGACAATAATAAGTGAATATTTAGGTGTAACATAAGTAAACAATATGGCAGTGGTTTAACACAACATAGACAGCTAAAAGCAACAGTTATATGTGACCGTTGTATGCAGTTTAAGATTTACGACAGGACACTCCACTTAGAAACCAAATTCACAGAGAAGACAGAACTTCACAGCAGCCCAGCGTAAAGCAATAAAAAATTTGGCTGACAGTCAACTCACACTGAATTAACTCTTCCACTGCTGGCTGCAATCATAGGCAAGATATCCTATTATATTGCAATTTTTATAGCTACAATATTCTCATATCTGGTCATTTATCATTCCTAAGTCCATTCAATAAGAATAATTCTAACTAGATTTTATGTTTGCAGAATTTTAACTTTCCTAATCAAGATTATCAGAACAAGTCAATACCTCTGGATAAAAATTTGGTATGCTAACATTTGGCAAACTTACCGTTAATATATTGTTATCTTTATTCCACCTGCAGGAATAGAATTTTCATAACCATATATTCCTTAGCTAATTATGATTTCTAATAATTGAAATCTGACCAATATGTATCAAGTTATATATTCCTGCTATTAGTAACAATTAGTTTAATTTAATTGTAAAATTTTTTAATAAAACCAGCATAATTACCAGTTAGGTTGTAGATTTTCAGATGTGTCGATATGTCCCAGGAATTTCAAATGCAAGTATGATGAGAATTGTGGAAAATAGAAAAGTTTTCAGAGTTCTGAAGTTGTGTTAGTTGGAAAAGAAAATACTAAGAATTAGGTGTGTACAAGAGAGTGTTTGAGAGTCTGGAAGTGGGAGCCTTGAGTCCAGTCCAAGAGTCAGAATATGTAAGTCCTCGAGAGTTTGAGAGTGTTCTCTCTTCCCTTTGTCCTTACTTTTTAAAGGGGAAAATTCTCTGCACGTCACTAGTCGATAGGATCAACAGGGAACTGTGGGTGTGTCTTCTCTAAAGACTATCATCTAGATTTTGGTCAGTAGATGGCGCAATTACATCACCAAAAATTGTCAGGTGGTCCATTTACCTTTTTGTATAATGGATTAACTGAATATGTTGATGTGTTTTACGTAATTTGGTTATCTTTTTATGGCCACCATTTGTCAAAGAACCGGTCGTCTTCCAAGACTTTAGTTCACTCTTATCCGGACTTAGTGTTTGTATTTTAGCATCATAATTTTAGAGTTGGCATATGTAGCCTTAGATTCACCCTTTTCTTACAATGGAACTAGTAATGTTCTGTAAATTAATGTTCTGTATATCACATGGTCAGTGGTACAGGTAATGTAATGTGATATTTTAATTTTTTGACCACTATGTGGGTGTGCAAAAGTCATACATATACATGATCACATGTCCCTGCGGTCTCTCATATGTGGGGAAGACCGACTTAACAGTACGGGATCGGATACGAGGACATCGGTCCACTATCATGACGGCATTTAGAGATCAACAGCGTGACAAGCCTGTGGCTAAACATTTTTTGACCATGGGACACTGATTACCTTCTTTAAGGTTTACTGCCATTGATCATATTCCCCCAATGCCAAGAGGTGGAGATAGATCCAAGATGTTATTACAACGAGAGTCCCAATGGATACATCGATTTGGATACAGTTGCCCCTAGGGGGCTGAATGAAAATATTATATTTTCTATGTTTTTGTGAGAATTGATCAGATTTTGTCCGTACATATTACTATTTTTCTTTGGATTTATCTCTTTCGTTGGAATTTTGGAGGTCTGCTCAGTATAAGAATAGGTCTATGAACATTTCAACTATTGTAATAATAATTCTCATTAGCTTTATTATATATGTCTGATTGAGAAGAAATTTTTCTCATTTGTAATTTTGTCTGTTTATTATTTGTGATTGATGGATTAATAGTATATAGCTCTCTGAGAATGAGCATTATTGTTTTGATCTAATGGTCTATTTTTGATCTCTAATTTACTTATGCTGATATATACCTTTAAGACAACACACATCTGTTGGGTTATGGTTTTGTTCTGCACTGCCCTGATCGTCTTGTTAAACCGGTATTCTGCTTTAGCCTTAGGAGATATCTATTATAACTATATGTGTTCCTTCCTTGTATGATTTGATTAATTGACAGAAGGTAGTAGAATATTATACACTGGTATTTATGTAACACACATATGTTTTGTTTGCAGTGGGTTAACACACTTTTTATCTTTGCACTGTTATATATTTATTTGCACTTGTCACTTTAGTTGTGTATTGCAATGTAAATAATACTAGTCATTTCACAGCATACATACACTTTCATATATTCAATTATACAGCGGTATTACACAATTACGCTCTTATTCATGATTTGTTTCACTGGTATCTTAGCAACCAGTCACACGTCATCACGTCGGCATTACGACACATCACGTGATTGCGGGTTCACTTCCGGGTATGCACGGAGAGGGTGAGGGAGGCAGTTCACCATTGGTGAGTACTTTCCTAAATTTACTATTTATTGATTTCACAGATTTAGACATATTGATCTTAAGGAAGACCCTGAGGGGTCGAAACGTCGATCTTATTATGTAAACCTTCTTTTTAATAAATACTTTTCTATTGATTATATAAGTCCTTAGAGTGCATCTCTTATTTTTTGTTTATATATTCCATAACGTGGGATTGCACCAAGGCACTAAAATTCATTTTGAATTGGAGATAGGGTGAGTGCCACGCTATCTGTTTTTTTTTTTTGTGTGTGTGTGTGTGTGTGTGTGTGTGTATGTATGTATATGTGTGTGTGTGTATATGTATATGTATATGTATGTATATAATATATTACACACACACACACATTTGTTTCTGGGTTGTAGCATTCCTCCCCCTTTTGCTGTTATATGTCTTGTTTACATAAGTCACATCACATTCCTTAGCTCAGACGTGAATGAAGTAGTTACAGATAGAGAATTTTGTGTCTGTCTTAGCCTTGTAATACAAAATGGAGTCACCTCTGCTCTGAGGGTGACTGGCAGTATACACTTTTAATTTCTGTCTTAACACAAAATGTCTACCAGTATAAATATACTGACATAACCCCCTTGGTGATTAACATAGCAATGATTAATTTAGTCTATGAATAAGCACTACAGAAGTTACAAGACATATTGTGTACTCATATCACTTCTTCTGGCGTTGGGCATGTGTATGCATAATGAACATTTTTGCATATTGTTGTACCTGTAAGAGCTTTGAACCTTACACTTGGTACAATCAACCAAAATACCATTATTATCATTGTAAACCCAATAACAATTTTAACATAGATGAACCAGTTAACATGAGCAATAAAGTCAGTATCTAGCTCAGAGTACTTAAATATGTCCACAGAATTGTTATCTTTTCTGATTGACCATTTGATAGTGTGGTTGGGCTTATGGTCTAGCAAGAACTTTAGATTAGATTAGGATCTAGTAGAAATAGAAGTTCACGCTTAAATAAGTCGTGACTTTGGTGCACTTCAGTGGACTTGGCAATTAGCTTCAAATGCAAATTTGTTGCAACAACTGTCTTCCACAATAATTAACATGTCCTGGAGAAGTGTTCTTTGCTGTTTTTTCACCTGATGAATATCGTTAATGTGCTGCTTTAGCGCATAGATTTCCATAGACTTGGGCACTTCAGAAATTTTCGTTTTATACGAATGTATTCATACGAAAAAGAAATTAGTTTAGTCAGAACCGAAATTCGTCAATTCTTCTATTCGTTTTCGTATGATATTCGTTAGCATTTTCATTTCGGCTAAACACATTCGTTCGTTCGTTCATTCTGCGCAATTTAATTGAACCAAATGAATTGAATACATGAAACAATGTTCCCTAATCCCTAAATACCAAATAGCTTCAACCGAACTCAGTAAAACCATTTGTTTCAAATTTTGTACATTGATCTAACAACATGGCATTGAAAGCTGTATTTCGTTTAATTTACGCCTAATACGCCCGAAATAACTCCCGAACAGTTAAATGCATGAACGCTGCCAATCACATGAAAATGTATTGGCACTATTAGTAAACTACTGAACACAACTCACTATAGTCATTCGTATGTCGAATGGCATTGCAAATACAATGCAATCATAAAAGTCAGTTCCTAAATAACGAATATCCTCAAGTGAACGCAGTAAAACCATTCATTTGTTTAACTTTTCGTACATTTCTCACAACACATGGCATTGAACAATGTTCTAATCTATTTACGCCCAAAACTCCCGAACTAACTCCTGAACTGTCAAATGCACGAACACTGCCAATCGCATGAAAATGTATTGGCACTATTAGTAAATTACCGAACACCATTTACTATAGTCATTCACATGTCGAATGACATTGCAAATGCAATGCATTGCTTTTGCTTAGTTTCTTGGGCTCATGAATCATCATGCTTCCTTGACAGGTGGTACTGGCAACACAGTATCATTTTTATAAGGGAGTGAGAAAGTAGTAGCCAATTAAATAGGCTTTTACATACTGCCAGACAAAACTGTAAAAAAAAAAAAAAGTATCCCCTCAAGGCAGTCCTTCAATGCAAAATCTAGCCAGATTTTCTATATGCCAGCCATTCAGCCATTTTGGAGCTCAGCCAGCCCACCACCCTGTCAGCCATTTTAGACACTTTGATGCTGAGCCTGCCAGAAGTGGTCATGTCCTCCTCCAGCTCCTCAAGTAACATAGCCATGGATATAGTGGAGGGGGGCATTGGCCACACATGCCAGGAGGAAGGAGAAGCAAGTGGGAGAAGTAAGAAGGCCCAGGATTTTAAAGGCTGCAGATCCTGGTAGGAAGAATAAGTACACTGATAGTTTTGGTGCAGAGGAGAATACAGTACTGGTAAACAAGCTCCCAATGTGTGTTTTTTGGGGGAGCAGCCAAAAAGACTTCAAGAGCAAAGAAGGACAATCTGTGGAGGAAGACTGTGGCAGCGGTGAATGCTGTTGGAGGGAACAACCGCACGCAGGACGTGGTGAAGAAATGGTAAGTGCACTTATATTCCTAAAAAATAATTTTCTTTATGCCATGTTTTTTTAAACTTATTTTTTTCCCCCATGTGCTTTTGCTACACCCCCCCACCATTGGCAGCTATGCTTTTAAAGTCTTTTAAAAGTGAGGGTTGGGTCACTTAAGCACATAGAGGGAAAAAAACACAATGTGCAGCTCAGCTTTAAAGGAATACTATAGTGACAGGAATACATGTTTGCATTCCTGTCACTATAACTGTGAAAACACAGTTTAACCTCCCTCTCAGCAATGTAACTGTAATTAAAGGGACACTACAGTGCCAGGAGAACAAACCATTTTCCTGGCACTGCAGGTCCCCTCTCCCTCCCACCCCCCATCCCAGGAGGAGACCGACTGCGCGGCCGCCGGCGGGGTGAGACCTAATGCGCATGCGTGGAAATGCTGCACATGCGCATTAGACCTCCCCATAGGAAAGCATTGAAAAATGCTTTCCTATGGGGGTTTCAGCGACGCCACTAGAGGAGGAGTTAACCTTGCAAGGTAAATATTGCAGTTTATGAAAACTGCAATATTTATTTACAGTTGCAGGGTTAAGGGTAGTGGGAGTTGGCACCCAGACCACTCCAATGGGCAGAAGTGGTCTGGGTGCCTGGAGTGTCCCTTTAATTACTCATCCTTATAGCAGAGCTGTGCTCTGCCTCCTTGGCTGCGATCTTCATAATTAACAAGATCAGCAAATCCAATGCTTTTCCATAGGAAAGCATTGGGAGGCTGTCATGTTGCAAAACACCGCTGTTCTATCAGATATCTATATCTATCAGATTTCTATATGGACGTCACTTCCGGTGCCCCCATGTCATCAGAAGTGACGCGAGATCAGCTGTGCGCTAGCAGCCCTCGAGGTATACAATTCTGGTGGAGGCACCCCGAGCATGTGTGCCGCCTCTGACGCTCGATCAGCTGGGCCTTTAATCTGAAGGGTGTACCGCGCATGCGCTCGGCACATCCTTCAGCTATAGAAATCTGATGGGTGTAATGCGCATGCGCGCAGCCCATCCATCAGATATAGCAATTTGATGGGTGTGCAGCACATCCTTCAGATATAGCAATCGGATGGGTGTACTGTGCATGCGTGCAGCACATCCATCAGATATTGCAATCTGATCTACAAATCTGACGGATTTCTGTACCACAGCTTTCACTGTACTGTATAGTAACATACACAGTGTAGGCGAATGTGGTGTTAAATAAGGGAGATGCACGGTTAATGGGGGTGACACACAGGGATAGGGGGTTAATAGGGGTGATAAACATGGGATATGGAGGGGTGACCAAAAGTTGCCTAACAACCTAGAAGTCCCTCTAGTGGCCGTCTGGTAGCCAGCCACAAGAGGTGGAGTTAACACATAAAGATTATTATTGCAGTTGCACTTGCAATAGTTACCTTTTACACGGTTAAGGGACCTGGGACACTGAACCCAGACCACTTCAATGCGCTGAATTGGTCTGGGTGCCTATAGTATCCCTTTAAACATGTCAGTAAACATATATATATATATATATATATATATATATATATATATATATATATATATATATATATATATATATATATATATATATATATATATATATATATATGTATATGTGTATATATATATGTATATATGTATGTATATATGTATGTTTACTGACATGTTTAAAGTAATTAATCAATTACACATGTCTTTGCAGTTACTACGACATCAGGCGGATTCACAAAAAGAGATCCTGCAGTTCCTGGGAAGAGACAACCTCCTTGGGATTGAGGGGACAACTGGCGCTGAAACATCTGAAGGTATGTTGTTAAAGGACCACTATAGTGCCAGGAAAACAAACTCGTTTTCCTGGCACTATAGGGTAATTAGGTTCCCCCCCACCCCACCCTCGTGGCCCCCTTCCCACTTCAGCCACTTACCTTTTCCCAACCCCTTCAGCCACTTACCTTTCTCCAGCGCCGGGCTCCCTCGGAGCTGGGGAACACTCCTCCCTCTGACGACGTCCGCTCCGAATGCGCAGCAAGAGCCGTGCGCGCATTCAAGCCACCCATAGGAAAGCATTACTCCATGCTTTCCTATTGACGTCCAGCATCTTCTCACTGTGATTTTTTTTTCACAGTGAGAATCACGGAAGCACCTCTAGTGGCTGTCAGTGAGGCAGCCACTAGAGGCTGGATTAACCCTCAGCGAAACAGCAGTTTCTCTAGAACTGCTATATTTTCAGCTGCAGGCTTTAAACTAGAGGGACCTGGCATCCAGACCACTTCGTTGAGCTGAAGTGGTCTGGGTGCGTATAGTGGTCCTTTAAATTCATATTTGTTAGTCAAAATGTACATATATCAGTTTTCTTGTGTTAACCTTCCAATGTGTGTTTTCTATGCCATCAGTGCAAGCCCCTCAATCCTCAGAAGAGGCACCAGGAGATGCTGTCTCCATGGAGAGCAGGGCAGCAGGTTCACCTCCTGTCTCCCTGGAAATGCGCCTGGCTTCACTTTCCTCTCGTAAGTACTTGCATAGCATTGTTAGATAAATGTTATGTGTGTGTGTGTGCGCGCATTTAAACATACACACATGCGTATGTGATTTTACTGTATATGAAGTTAATTTATCACATACATGTATTTCAGACCATCCGCAACTTGTTGACCTTCCTTCACCACGTATGAGTGTGGTTTCCCTCCAACAGCCGGCCCCTGGTGTCCAGGAACAGGGATGCACTGCTGAGCGTAAGTAAAAAATGCTTTTGCACATATTCTTTGCAGGCATACTAGTTTATGTAACAGGCAGGGCCAGGTCGACCGCTAAGCAAACTAAGCGTCTGCCTAGCACGCACTGGCCAAGGGGCTCAATGTCTGGGTGACCAGGAGGGGTGGGGGGAGCTCGCATCGCTCCTCTCCTTCTGTTCACTTTATGTACTGTGGCTGAGTGGACCACGTGTGCAACGATCTGCTTCATGTAATGCAGAAGAAACAGGAGATTCTCTACCTGGGAACGCTCGGCCACGATACACGTAGTGAGATTAGAAGGAAAGGGAGGTGGGCACAAAGACATGCGTTGAGAGGTCACAAAGAGACAGAGAAAGGGCTAGGGGGGACAAAGATGCATAACTATACTTAGACATAATAATTAATAGCATGACTGCATATATCTTATTTACAATTTTAAATGATATTGTTGTACAGATGATAGTAAGCATTGCAACATATGACACGTGCTAACAATGTTCTTTCTCTGTTCTCCCCTATAGGTTCTGATGGTACTCTCCCCCTGCAAGAGGAGGGTACCATTACCCTAACAGCAGTGGATCCTGATTCAGTGACATCAGTGGCCGAAGAAATGCAGTTGCCACAACTTCCTCCACCATTGGCTGCGCTGTATGCGACAATCCAGGCTCGTCAAGCTGAACTGGAGATGTCCATACAGCAGGATAGGGAGAATCAGCGAGAACTATTGCAGAATGTAATAACCGAGGTACACTCCATGTCGAACATTTTGAATGAGGGCGTTAGGCAATTTACATCAGCAATGGTTTCCTTGCAGCAAAATATGCAGCGCTTTATGGAAATGAGGGAGGAAGAGTGCATTCCAATGCGTGCCCAAGCTGCCCATAATTTGGGCATAACCATTGCTGATGTAGATAGCCTAGTTCGTGAACGACGTGCGCAGGGTCTTGCCAGAAGGGATGATGATGATTAATAGATATCTGTGGGAAGAATGCACTAAGATGTTTGTTTCTCATTATCATCCACAATGTGAACACAACTGACGCTGTTCATCATAGGTTGTTACATTCTCAATTTCCTCCTGGTTTTCCTTATCCTTGCCCTGAATATACATTGGTTCATTCTCCTCTGCACTATATCCTCCCAGGACTGCTCCTAACAACCTGGGCTGCCTCTGCTTTGTTGCTTCTCCCACTTGCTTTTTGAATTAAAAAAATATTGGATTACAACTTCTGACTCCATACATATATATCTCTATCTCTATCTCTATCTCTATCTCAAATAGTGAACAGAGCACTCCTTAGGAAATTTTCAATTGTTTATTTAAGTAATCTTGATTATTTATTAAATACATGATTGAAAATCTCCTAAGGAGTGCTCCGTTCACTATTTGCTATATGTTTGGCGCTGGAAGCACCCAGGTATTACAAGTTATATTTTTTAATGATGGTGAGTGTCGGAGGTCGAATCATATATTATATTATATTATATTATATTATATTATATTATAATATATATATATATATATATATATATATATATATATATATATAATTTTACATAATTAGGTCATTTTATTAATTACAATTTGCAGGACCTGCCTGACAACCCAGGCCAAAAGCCCAGGGAATTTAATTTGCCAGCTCTGTATTTAACCCTGTAACGTTCCAAGACACCATAAACCCTGTACATGGGGGTACTGTTTTACTTCGCAGAACACAAATATCAGTTTTTCAAAGCAGTGAAATGTATTACGACGATGATATCGTCAGTGAAAGTGACATGTTTTACACACAAATGGCACTTACCCAGACGAGATAATTGTGATACGTTTTACTGTTTTGAAACACTAATTTTTGTGTTCAGCGAAGTCTCCTGTGTATAACAGTAGCCCTCATGTACAGGTTTTATGGTTGTAACTGATCGACGGGCACCCTGAATGGGTACCTTCATTGGAGGATGCTCCTAGCGCCTCCTGAGGGCTTCCAGCACTCCAGCTGACACCATAACCACCGTAGACACCTTCAGAGCGCAAACCAGGAACAAGCTCTTACAAGAGTTTAGGAGTGATTGTAGCAAGGGAATATGCAGAGCATAGCAATCCCTTGTAGCAGATTCCCCCAATAAGAGACAGGACTCAAATTGAGGGTGAAGAAGAACTGAAGCTTTTAATGAGACACTGCTTTTATGCCCATTTTGCACACATAGTACTGCCCACAGGGTTTTGTAAAACAACCAATCAATACGTACAATACACTCAGACACTCCCAGCAATTACAGACAAAATCCTCCCCTCTGCCTTTTGCCTGTGATTTAATAACCTTACACAATGGGTGAAGGTAATTATCACTGGCAGAGAAATACAGTTTTTACACATGTACTATAACTTTAAAACTATACATTCAATATTCAAAAAAACTTATTATTATTCAGCACACTTTAAAGGACCACTATAGTGCCAGGAAAACATACTCGTTTTCCTGGCACTATAGTGCCCTGAGGGTGCCCCCACCCTCAGGGACCCCCTCCCGCCCGGCTCTGGAAGGGGGAAAGAGGTAATAACTTACCTTTTTCCAGCGCTGGGCGGAGAGCTCTCTGCCTCCTCTCCGCCTCCGATCCGCCCCGCCGGCTGAATGCGCACGCGCGGCAAGAGCTGCGCGCGCATTCAGCCGGTCTCATAGGAAAGCATTTACAATGCTTTCCTATGGACGCTGGCGTGCTCTCACTGTGATTTTCACAGTGAGAAGCACGCAAGCGCCTCTAGTGGCTGTCAATGAGACAGCTACTAGAGGATTAGGGGGAAGGCTTAACCCATTCATAATTATAGCAGTTTCTCTGAAACTGCTATAATTATGAAAAAATGGGTTAAGCCTAGAAGGACCTGGCACCCAGACCACTTCATTAAGCTGAAGTGGTCTGGGTGCCTAGAGTGGTCCTTTAATTCTAAACATAGTCAAAATTCAGCCAATTACATCCAGAGGTTAAAGTTAGCTGGAGGTCCCTTTTTGACCATAGATTCAGATCGGTCAGTCAATTTCACACTGAAAAAATCACTAAGTCCCATCCCATCGTCTCTGCGGCTGCAAAATCATTGTGGGAGAAGGTAAGGCTCAGCGGTGTTTGCGTAACTGTGTAGCCGATTTCAGTTCCATGAATATGGCTACACACACCGCTGACCGCATTGAATAAAAAAAGATGGCCGCCGCCACGTGTTCTTTTGTCGAATGGCAGTCCCCCAGCATTCGGTAATTTACCTACAGCAGGCTCCCAGCCTGGGAGGTAAATTGCCTGCACACTTCCACTTCTGTGTGGTCCGCCTGTGTGGTACTTGGTTCAGTAAGCCCCATTAGTACTACTACTGCTATCTTTACATCTGAAGAGTTCAAACCTGAGGGACCTGGCACCCAGACCACTTCATTGAGCTGAAGTGGTCTAGGTGACTATAGTGTCACTTTAATCATCTCCAGGTACAGAAAATATTTAAAGTTTTTAACTGTAAAAAAAACACATTAAAATACATAACTCAAATTTCACACAACTGGACCCCCAGATAGCTTGGATCTGAGCACTCAATATATTTGAACAGCACTCTGATCCCATGAACATAGTCCAATCGCCATGGAGTTAAAGGACCACTAAAGTGCCAGGAAAACAAACTGGCACTTTAGGATCTTTAGGTCCCCCCCACCCTCAGGGCCCCCCTCCCGCCGGGCTGAAGGGGGAGGAAAGGGTTAATCACTTACCTTTTTTCAGCGCCATACTCCCTCTTCCAACGTCAGTACTGAATGCGCATGCGCGGCAAGAGACAAGTATTGTAAGACGACCAATAAAACACGTAAATTATAGTAAAACACTCCCAGCAATTACACACAAATCCTCCCCTCTACCTGTGATATAATTACTGAACACAATGGGTTAAATTAATTATCACAGGCAGGAAAAATATACTTTTTACACAGTTACTGTAACTTTAAAAATATACATCCAATCTTCCTAAAGTAACATATTACGAATCAGCATCCTTTAAATATAAACACTCTCAAAAATAATACAAATCCCTCCAGTAGATAAAAAGTTAGTCGGAAGTTCTTTGTGACCGACCGCAAGCAAATTTTCCTGCCCAAAACAGTTCCATAGATTTGGGCTGTGCGGTCGGTCAATTTCACGGGGCCGTTCGTGCAATTGGCTCAGTATAGCAGTGAGTGTGTTCAAACAGCCGAACGGCGACCACCCAGTCGTTCGTCAATTAGTTGCGGTTAACCACAGCTTCTGGGAGGTTAACAAGCTGCACACTCCCATTGCGTGTGGTCTGGCCTTTCGGCAGTTTATTCTGTAAAATAAAAGGGAATAAATAGGGCTAAATGGCTAAATGCACGGCATACGAAAATAAGGGCACTGGTATCCACAAAACTGGGGTTTTGTCAGTTACTTACTACACAGTAAAAGATATATATAAAAAAAAAAAAATCTGATGTAGAATTCTATACCCCAAGGCCTGCTAGCGGACTTGCGCGCTGCTGAGATCAGCAAGTGCTTTAGCAGACCTTTGGGTATAGAATTTTATATCAGATTTTTTTATATATATATCTTTTACTGTGTGTGTAGTAAGTAACCATGACAACCCCATTTTTGTGGATACCAGTGCCCTTTTTTTAATATGCCGTTCGTGCATTTAGCCCTATTTACTTATTCCCTTTTATTAAGTGTTCTTGCATAGCAAGACCACTTAATGTTATCTCACATATATATTATTATTAAGTGTTCTTGCATAGCAAGACCACTTAATGTTATCTCACATATATATTATTATTATTAAGTGTTCTTGCATAGCAAGACCACTTAATGTTATCTCACATATATATTATTATTATTATTAAGTGTTCTTGCATAGCAAGACCACTTAATGTTATCTCACATATATATATTATTAAGTGTTCTTGCATAGCAAGACCACTTAATGTTAGTCTGCCATATATATTATTGAGTTATTATTACAAGTGTTCTTTTGCCAGCAAGACTACTTAATGTTATCTCACATATATATTATTATTATTATTAAAGTGTTTCGCATAGCAAGTTAATCTCACTTTTAATGTTATCTCACATATATTATTATGTTATTATTATTAAGTGTTCTGTATAGTGCTACTACTTAATAATGTTATCTCACATAGATATTATTAAGTGTTCTTTTGCATATACATTTCACTTAATGTTATCTCACATATATATTTAAGTGTTCTTGCATAGCAAGACCACTTAATGTTATCTCACATATATATTATTATTATTAAGTGTTCTTGCATAGCAAGACCACTTACTGTTATCTCACATATATATTATTATTATTATTATTATAGCAAAATTTGCCACCCTAACTCCTCCCACAGTTTTTACACTACATAGACCAAAATTTGCCAAAACGTGCAGATTGTTCCCGATCGGATTGCTATTACTTTGTGGAACGTTTCGCCGAATGGTTCACGGAATATCGTCGTTTTTGTGGCGCAATTTGTCCCATAGGAATGAATGGCAAAGCTAGAGTGGGAACTGGCAAAAGCTGAAAAATCAGGACATGATTTCTAAACTGCCACCACTCCCTTATTTTCAGGCCCACCTACACAAATCTTATATCAAAACGTTCAGCTATCCCTGCTGCCACTAAACATGTCAACGGCTAAGCCATAGTCCTGACAGTTTTCACAATATAATCATTTGTTTGCAACTAACGCCGTCCATTGACATTCATTGAAACTTCACTCTACAAAGCTCAAATTTGAAGTGCAATTTCTAAACTGCGACTGTGCCTTCATTTCTAATACATCAGAGACATACTATGCATCAACATGTAGGTCTGGGTCTTGTGATTCCCACAATATAAAGCTCTTCGCTGTAGGAGTTATAGTTTTTAAAATACGACCGTTTGAAGATGGCAACCGCCACAATACTCTGACCTGTGCTAAGCTGCAGCAGCAAGTGATGTCATAGACAGGGCCTTTTGAACACCTGCTAATGTTTTTATAAATGTATGGTTTAATGTAACTGTGCAACAGCGTTGCAATTAAATGTGCTATGTAAATGATAACAGTTACTCCGCCCACTCCAGTTGTAGACTACAGGTGGAGGCAAGAACACTTCACACAATTTCCAGAAATTGTAGCTTTTCTAGTTATTATTATTATTATTATAGCAAAATTTGCCAATTCTAACTCCCTCCGCATAGCTTTTATATCTATATAGAATTTCAAAATTTACCAAAACGTGCAGATTGTTCCCGATCGGATTGCTATTACTTTGTGGAACGTTTCGCCGAATGGTTCACGGAATATCGTCGTTCTTGTGGCGAAACTTGTCCCATAGGAATGAATGGCAAAGCTAGAGTGGGAGCTGGCAAAAGC